AAACGAGGACACAGAATGGTGTGAATCGGTAAATAGGTCATGTGAAGTGGGGTTGAGAGAAAGATGCAATTGTAGGTGGGACGAAGAAAATAGGGGTAAACAGTGATGTTGCAACGGTCTAACAGGAAACTGGTTAAGTGTTGCCTAATTTTATCATTTTGATAAGTTGCAAATGCCAATGATAGCACCAGCGAAACGTCTGGGACTGCTCTTAATCAACTGTCTTATGCTGGAAATCAACATGGATGCTAGGACAGCCGACGCAAGACCATGCACGTTCCTTAAGTTCTTTGTCGCTGCAACCAATTTGCGAAAACGAGGTCAAGCCAACACTACAGGTAAAGAAGACTACATCTAAATAAGATGCCACGCCATTCTAGTCTCCAAATTTGCATTGACTCATAAAAACTCGCCTGTAAGTTCCTGTAATGTGCATTGGAGTTTCGATTTCACCTGTCTCCTATAAGTACTCCAACGGGGTTTGAAATCTGCTCTTTTCATATAGAGCGCAAAAAGACTCCATTTATCTCACGACGCTATGGATCCTATTGGGTCAAATGGCGAGCCTGGCCTGTCCCAATTAATACATATTATTGGGTTGTTAAGAAAAACTTATATTTACGATCACTTTTGATGGCACAATGTTACATGTAATTGGGATCTAAAATTTTTACTATATGTTGAGTAAGCCTTAATTATTTGAGGTCGTTTGAGATGGGGTTGGGACTGAGGGTTGGATTTATCAAATTTACTTATGAATACCTCGCGATGTCATTGGACTTGACCTATCCTTGCCTTCCAAAACGTTTCGCTTCCTAAGTGGATTGTAATTTCGGTTTTAACGAGAAATTTTTGATTCTTAATTGTCGAACTCACTGGTTTGAGGTGCCTTACCCACCTAGAGAGTTACCTTTTTCCTTTGAACCACAAACACAGGTTCCCCTTTGATGTAGTAGTAATGTGTTGCTTTGGAAGTTAAGTAGACTTAAAATGCAATGAAGTCATGAGACTTATTTATTTCATTGCGTAAAATCTAACTATCACTCATTACCTCTTTTTCAATATCTACTGATATGAGCGACAATAGGGCAGTAAACAAATTCGGATTAGTTCATCTAATTGCCTATCTATCTGGACCCTAAAGTTAAAATATGAAAGTGATAATTTTAGAAGTGTGCCAGTTTATATTGATTTCTGTATATGATAGATAGTGCAATTTCACGATAAATTAAATAAGCGGCTTGTTTTGTTTTATAGAAGTGGGTTGACCTCGCTGCAACTTGGTCTTGTTTTCAGGGAGACTATGTCTCTTTGACGAATTCGTATCTTGGTGCGGAGAATGGCAAAGCTCACTGATGATGCCGAGAATGTATCAAGTCCACTGTCG